CTGCCATTCCCAAGTCAGGGTCCCCTGCCACAGTACCCAGGGGTGACATTACCCGGCTGGAGCATCTCTGTTGGGGAGGGGGGACAGTTTTCTTCTTTGTGCCCCATCACGAGCACAATACAGCGGGCAACCTGCACAGCCCAAGTGCATCACTGGTCCTTTGGTGCGGAACAGACACTCGGTGCAGTCTCTCAGAAATTGCCCCAACCCCTCCCTGGCTGGCCCTTGCCCCTGTCTTGAAGGGGAAAGGGAGATGTGGAGCAACTCTGTGATTCAGCCAGAGCTGCCTGGGATGCTGTGGCCAGAGTAGGAATAAAGCTGTGTGCAGGAGTATGAGGACAAGCACAGACCACCGTGCCCCTCGCAACTTTGCTGTTTTACGTGTCTCCAGCTGGGTGATTGGGAACTGGTCTGAATGCAGCCGGAGTTGCAACGAGGGCGTCCGTACACGCAGCGTCTTCTGCAAGCGTAAGATCTCTGCCAGCGAAGAGAAGACCTTGGATGATGCTTCTTGCACCCACCCGCGGCCAAAGATGCTTGAGCCTTGCAATAACCAGACGTGCCCTCCCGAGTGGGTCGCCCTGGACTGGTCTGAGGTAAGTGCTTAACATCGGCCCTCACCTCTCTGATGGCACCGGTCCTTAGGAGGACAGCGTCAGTCACTGGGCCGGAGCATCGGTGGTGGCTGCTGGCCACGGAGAGCGTAACGTGGGAAACGGTCTTGTAGCTCAGGAGGCAGGCAAGGTGGGAGCACCGGCGGGGAGAGCCCGCGCCGCCTCTCTCTGCTCTCTGCCGGCCACCCTGACCGCCTGCGTGCTGTGCTCTCTTTGCAGTGCACCCCGAGCTGTGGGCCAGGTTTCCGCCACCGCATTGTCCTCTGCAAGAGCGGTGACCACAGCGCAACTCTGCCCACCTCCCAGTGCCATGAAGGCTCCAAGCCCCCGACCAGCATGAGGTGCAACCTGCGGCGCTGCCCACCGCCGCGCTGGGTGACTGGCGAGTGGGGAGAGGTAGGGACAATCCTTTCCATGGGGTTATTGGAGAAGACTCTGCCTCCCCGGCCCCTCAAATCCTAGTGCCCATGAGTTTTACCTGCCAGCAGAACCCGATGTGGCCACCGCAGCTATCTGGGAGGCAGGAGGACTCCATGGTGGTGTTCTTTGCCCCCACCTTGGCTCAGGAGGCTATTGTGATGGTGGCCCAAGCGCACAGCTGACCCAGGGAGTCTCCGGGGCCTAGCAGAGCCCCACGGAAGTCATTGGAGGGCCCCCACGGGTATCTGGGGGGCAGCAGGGCAGTGAGGATGGGGAGCAGTGCAGTGGGAGCGATGGGCTGCAGAGGTGGGCTGGGCCAGCTGCAACTGGGGCCACTGCTGGTCCGCCTGCCACAGCCCAGCCCCACGCCTGCAGCAGGGCGACGCTGACAGTCCTCCCTTCCCTCCAACACCCCTCGAGCTGCAGGGTGACGTCAGGGTGCAGGAGGCCTGGGAAAGGCCAGTGATTTAGGGCTGGATGGAGAGACCCTCGCTGAGTCCTGGAGGTTCGAACCAAGCTTTTCGGGAAGCGGGGCTGCAGCGCTCAGCCGTGCGGGTGAGGTCCCTGCAGCTGCTGCTGAGGGAAGGGACGACTGCATCCAGCACCCTTTGCACCTCCTAAGACCTGTCCGTGCCCTCTCCCCCCCCGTGTTCTCAAAGCCGTGGCGGCCACCACAGCTCCGTGCTGTGCTGTTTCCCGGCAGTGCTCTGCGCAGTGTGGTCTTGGCCAGCAAAGAAGATCCGTCCAGTGCCTGGCTCACACCGGGCAGCCGTCCAGCGACTGCGTGGAGACCTTGCAGCCACCCGGCATGCAGCAGTGCGAGACCAAGTGCGAATCGGGCCCTACGGACAACCCTGAAGGTGAGGGAAGTTGGAGGACTGGGGAGGGAAACGCAGAGCACTGCCAGCCTCAGGGGCTACACGGTACTGGGATGTGGGAGCCAGCCCCGTCCAAGTTGGGCTCTAGGTGCTGTGCTGTGGGGTGAGGCTCTCATGGGGAGACCTGATGCTGTCCCCTTTGGTCCCAGGCCAAACCAGTGTGCTGTCGCTCTGATAAATAACTGCACCTTGGCAAAGAGAGGCTTTCAGTAGTGAGGTTCTGAGGAGCTTCAGCATGGCTGCACCTCGCTGCTTCCTGGCAAAAAGCCCCCAGGAGCTGGGCATCGGGGTGCAAAAGGAGCTTGCATAGCGCTGCTTAGAAGTCCCCCCCTGGGGCTCGTCACCCCCCAAGGCAGCTGTAACCCTGCTTCCCTCTGTCGCCCATCCAGAGTGCAAGGATGTGAACAAGGTGGCCTACTGCCCGCTCGTCCTGAAGTTCAAGTTCTGCAGCCGGACCTACTTCCGACAGATGTGCTGTAAAACATGCCAGGGGCACTAGGGACACAGCGTGACCCCCGTGGGAAAACTGGAAGGCAAAAGCTACGCCGGGGGGCCACCGAGCCGCGCCCTTCCTCTCCGCCCCGAGAATCTCCCCTGGGTCCAACACAGACACTGGTCGTGCTTCCAGCGGGAGCCGGCGTCACCCAAACCCGTCCCCCAAAGACACGCACCCTTCGCCCCCCAGCTTCACAATGGCAGGTTCCCAGTTAAACCACTGCCAGCCGCTGCAGACACCGCCACGGCCCGGTGCGACGGGAGCTGGTTGATAAGCGGTGGGAGAGGGAGAAGCTGGGCAGAGCGCGGCAGCAGGAACATTACTTGAAATTCTGACATTGTTATTTATTAGTAGCGGACCCAGGTCCTGCAGGTGCCGAGACAGCCACCGAAGCGGCACCACTCGCCCCGCTCCTGCCTCGTCCTGTTCCGTGCCCGTGTCCCGACGGCATCGCAGGGCATCGTGCTCCTCAGTGGGATATCCCCGGGGAGGCTGAGTGCACCGGGGGCTGGTGCCTTTCCCTCGGGCATCCCAGGGGAGACAGGGAGGAGGTTTCAGGTGCCACGGGTGACAAGCGTGGCTTGTGGCTTCTGGGCGATGGACAAAGATGAGCTGCTGTGGGCAAGGGGGTTGGAGCAGGAATTTTGTTTTCTTGGTTTGCATCCTGTCACCTTGGGACATGCAGCGGGGGACAGAGACCAGGTCACTCCGTGAGCAGAGCAGTGACACCAGTTTAACTGGGAGAGGGGGTTATTCAAACTCTCTTAAAAACCTACTTTGATTGGGGTGTCCCCCTATTTTTCCTTAAAGCCCTTGTCACTATTATGACCATTTTTTATTCCAGAAACACCTCAAAGCACGAGCTGAGGTCAGGGCCGAGGCGTGCTCAGGGTTGCAGTCATTTAACAGGCGTCAAGGATGCGCTGGGCTGCAGGAAGCAAAGCAAAGGAGGATGCAGGACAAGAATTTTCTGGGTCACAGCGTCCCCATTGCCAAGCCAGGGACTCGGGACCAGTCTGCCTGGTCCTGGCAGGGCCCTCCCCAGCGATCGCCACGGCCTCCACGGCTGCTTTGCTTCCAAAGGTGCTTTATTTCCAAAGGTGCTTTGCCTCCAAAAGGTGCTTTGCCTCCAAAGGCAGCCTCACCGTATGCCGCTGTGGCCTTGGGGTGCCACTCCTCTCCTCCACCCACAGGAGACACCTCCAGTGATGGAAAAATAGCAGGCTTGAAATTGCGCCAGGTCACCTCCTGGCCAAATCTGGGCCAACACGCATCTTCTTCCTGGGCCACTGCTGCCTATGGAGGAGACCTCAATTTCCAATCCACAAATCATGTTCTTTTTGTTATCACTGTTGTTATTATTCTTCTTTTCAGGCCTTTCTGCATCACAAAGATGGGAAATCTTGTCCAAAGCCATGTTCAGTTCCCCTTGGGGCTCATCCGTACCGTGCAGGGAGGCGGACAGCCCTCTTTTCCCCAGAGCAAACCTCTCTGCCCTGCCAGCCTTCATGTGTTACTCTACCATCTGTATTCTTACCCGCTCATCAGCCGATCGCAGCTTCTCTGGTGCTCAGCAAATCCCGTTTGGCTGTCAAGCGGGCCTTCGTTTGTCTTCCTTCCTGGTGCCATGCTCCATTCTGACATTTTGGTGAGGGGAGGGGGTGTTTTCACCTTTTTATATAGGTATATATATAATGAAAAATGTTTAACATACTAACTCTGAGGAGGAGCGACGTAACGGCATGATTTATAATAAAGGAGTAGCTACGATCCCGGGCACAGCTTCTGGACCCAGTCTTGTTTCTTGAGCGGCAAGCCTGGGCTCTGGGCAGCCCCACACCACGCTGCTCCTTGGGCTCATGCTGCACGAGGGGTTTGGGCAGCAGGGCAGGGTTCTCCCTGCAGCCGGGGCAACTGGAGCGGGTCAGAGAGGTGGAGATTCACCCAGCGCTGCTGCGTGGCCCGTAGGAACAGGCTTCCCCTTGGCAGAGCCCTCCCGGGTTGGCTGTGCACCCCAGGGGCACACAGACCCCGTATTGGTAAATTGGGATTTCAGCAGGAGGGGTGGTTTGAAGAACTACATGTCTAAAACACGGCTGATGCTTCCCTGAATCCCTTGGGCTGGTTCCTGTGGGGATTCGCACAGGTTTGCGCCATGTCCTGTGGCTCTGCAGAACCAGAGGACAGACTTCAGTAGGGCCTGTAGTGCTAGGACAAGGGGTGATGGTTTTAAACTAAACTAGGGGAGTTTCAGTCTAGATAGAAGGAAGAAATTTTTTACAATGAGGGTGGTGAGACACTGTCACGGGTTTCCGTGAGAGGTGGTGGATGCCCCATCCCTGGCAACATTCAAGGTCAGGTGGGACGGGGCGCTGAGCAAACTGGTCTGGTTAAAGACGTCCCTGCTCACTGCCGGGGTTGGACTAGATGAGCTTTAAAGGTCCCTTCCCACCCAAAGTACTCTGCGAGTCTCTGATTCCCTGATTCTAACCTGGCTGTGAGTGACTGAGCTGGTATTCGGAAGAAGAAAGGGGCAGTTTCAAAAGCTGGGGGCCCGGTCTTGCGCCCTAGGCCTCGACAAAGCGTTACCGGCTATTCCCCCGAAAATGTCACAAAGGCCGAGGTTAGAACAGGTTTATTGGAAGAGGAGAGATGAGAGGAGACATCTCGGGGAGGCTTTGATCCTCCCTCTTCTGCAAACTCCGCTGGTGAGAGACGTGCCCAGCGCCGGGTGCGCATTTGCCACGGGCGGTCTCCGCAGCACGGCCTCCTCCCTGCGCGCTGCGGGGGGAAGGGGAGACGCCCGAGGAATACCTGGGGGGGGCGGCGGGGCCGTGCGGGATGGGGAGGAAGAAGCCCAAGCAGCACTTGAAGTCCCACCATGTTTCGAGAAGGGAGATCGGTGGAGGTTAACGGGAGGCTGGGAGGCAGGCGCAGGCCGCGGCTTCCGGCCCGCAGCCGTACCTGAGCGCGGCCGAGGAGCCGGGCCCACGCCGACGGCGTCTCGGGTGGAGCCAGACCCTCTCGGCGCGGCGGGCTCCCTTCCTCGCTGGCAGCGGCGCCGCGGTACCCGGCCGGGGCTGCTGGAAGCGGATCGACCTCCACGGCCTCCTCCCGGCCCGCCACCGGCTCGGCCTCCATCGCCTCCGCGCCGTCGCTTGCGGCGTCGGATTGCCAACCAGAGAGTTCCCGCGCGCCCTCTTTGGTTTGGCAGCTCCTGTAGTGGCCCTGAGACGCCATGTGGCACCTTGGCTGGCCGCTGGGCCGAAGCGCCCAGAAGCTGCCGATCGCTGCTGAAGCTTCCCTGCTCCCGTCCTGCTCCGATTGCTCGCGCCGGCGGAGCGATCGCGGCTCGGTGGCCAGGGGCAGAGCTGCTTTTTCATGGGGCAGGGGAGAGCGGGCAGCGAGGAGCTGGCTTGTGACATCAGGAGGCCACTGGGACGGCGTGGCTGACCATGGGTCCCTTTGCCCGGCAAGGGCAGGGTGCTCAGGGCTGAGCTGTTCTGCCCCTGCCCAGTCCCACCGTGGTGGGACCCACTCCCCGCACCCCCCACCGCCACACACGTGCCTGGGGGAGGAACTGCTGCTCTGGTTAAGAGAAGGTGAAGAAGCCACTGGCTCTGACATGGCCAATTTTCCTTCCCCGGCCACGGCTGCCTGTGATCAGAGCCAACCCTTGCAGCCCTGCTGGCTCCCAGACTGCTGGTGAGCTGCCCCAAGCCTGGCTTTTGCAGAATTTGCCACAAATTTATGATTGGACCCAGCTGGTTGGCAATATCCTCTCTCCTCCAGCCCTGGCCCTGGTGGGAGGCTTAGTGCTCCAGCCAGCACCCTCTGCTCTGCAATGCAAAGGCCAATACATGGTAAAAAAATAAAAAAAAAAAAAAAGTGGTTATAGGCTTTCTGTGAGTAAAGCAGCCATGTGCTGTTCCCACATGGCACTAGAACTTTCCTTTCTCGGGAAGCCTCCCTGCTTTCCCCACCTTCCCTTGCATCTTGGGCTTCAAAGCTCACCGATACCCAGGAAGGAGGGGTGTCCGGCCAGGGCGATGGGGCTGGATGGCTGCCACCCCCCACGGTCCCGGGGGTCGGCAGGATGGGCAGAGGGGAGCACAGCCAGGGGCCAGCCCTTGCTCTGCGCGGAGCCAGCACGGGCTTACAGCAGCAACAGCAGGCTGAGCCCCACGGGTGCCGCGTCCCGAGTCCCCGGGCTCTGCTGCTGCCTTGCTGGGGGAGCGGAGGGGCCATCTCAGGGCAGGAGCTCTGGAGGGGACAGTGGGGATATGGCGGTGGAGAGCTGTGCTCAGGCCTCGGCTTCCCGTCGCAGCATACCTGCTTTCTTTGCTCTCTCTTGGGTGCTTTCAGCTGGGGGGGCTGACCACTGCCAAGGAGATGAGCCTCCGGTAGAGCCAGAGCCACTATTGCGACAGGCTCCCTTCTTCGAGGGGTCAGTGTTGGGTGATTCCCCACACAGCCCAGCCATGGTCTTTCTGAAATGGCTTCAGCCCATTGTAGCCAAAATGTTTCCTCAAGTGTGGCCTTGTTTATTCAAAAGACCTGAAAAAAAAAGCAGCAACCAAAAGCATCTTTCTCCTAAAACCACCTTAAAGTAAAGCATCCCCCAGCACTGGAAGCCGGGGTGGGGGGCATATCAAGCTGTCACCTCAGGGCAGGGGGAAAGGTTTTGTGGAGGCTCTGAGCATCCCTGCCGGACTCCACCCAGCATCCACCCGCTTGCCCAAGTCAGTGACCTCCCCCCGGCACCCGGAGCACCCATCTGCAGCAGAGGTGGGGTCACCCTGAGCAGGGCCACCCCAAGCCCCCCCCCCCCCCCCAACCAGCAGCAGAGAGCCACCCTCATCCTCCCCCACCCCCGGCAAACCGGCACGAAATGAGGAAGTGGGAGGAGGAAAAAAAAAAAAAAAAAAAAAAATTAGTTGCAACTTGTAGTTGCAGCAGAAACACAAAAGCAAAGGATTCTTCAGGATGGCCCTGGGCCCTCGGTGACAGGAGCCCGAGCACCCCATCCCTGGGGGCAAGACACAGGGACACCATGGTGAGTGCAAGCGGGGCCTTCGCTGGGCTCCCCCCACCCTGTCTCCCTCGGGCACCCTGGGGATGTCACCCTCTCTTCTTGCCACCTCAGGGCTGTCACAGCCCTGTCCTCTCCTGCACCCATCGTGGTCCCTTGCTGCTTTCCAGGAGGTGCCTGGAGCCTGCCCGATGTCCCCGCTGCAGAGGGGACGGTGCTGCCCAGGCTTGGGGACAGGGAGCGGAGCTGGGGCTGGGTGAGGCACTGGCACAGGGCACAGCGGTGGGTGGGGAGCAGCCAGGGATGGGTGCTGGGTGCTGGGTGCAGGGCCGCTGCCCCCCGGGGAGCGCTGACCCGAGTGGGATGGAGGGCACTGGGTGGTGATGCCGGGCTGACACAAAGTGGTTTGGATGTTGCTGTTGCTGGTGTGGGACCTACAGGAGAACATCTGTGTTCCTCTTGGGCCAACTTCCCACCAGCGCTTCTGGTTTCAGCGCTCGTGGTGCTGGCAGAGTGCGGGCAGAGCGTGGGGCAGGGGGGTGGCAGGGGCTGCCGGGGTTTAGCTGTCCCCCCCCCAGGCCAGCGCGAGCCAGGAAAGACCCTCTGGATGTTGATGTCCGGTGTTGGACCTTGCACCCTGGCATATGCAGGGCACAGGGGGTTGCTGAAAGGGAAGCAGCCAGAGCTGGAAGTGGATCTGGAGGCAGAAGAGGAAGATGAAAGCTCTCAAAATTAGGGAGATGCTCCGGCATGGAGTAAGGGTCTGCATGGCGTGGCTGCAGCCACGTCCTTCAGCCCACAGCTCTTGCTCCCTCCATGTCATGGAGTGATGCTGCCCCAGACATTTCCACCCAGCCGGAAAGAAGACAGTGACCAGGCTGAAACAGAGCCTTCTTCCACCCACAGTTGCGGTTGCCACCTCTGAGAAGCTGCTCAGGTGCTGTCCCCCTCAAGACGCAAACACTGTCCCCTCCCCACCGCCACCCAAGGCCTGACACTGTTCCGTGGCTTCACGAAGGGCCATGGGGCCGTGCAGCCACAACCCTGACCCCTGCCAGGGCCAAGCTCCAGGGCCAACCTCATGCCCAAAGCACTGGGAGAAACGCCCCATCCCCAAACCCTGCCCGTTCCTGGCAGGGTTGTGACAGCGGTGCAACACCCCGCGCGGCTCTTCTCAAGGCTTCCGGTGGTTTTTAAGGTGTTGGCTGCATCTGGGTTCGCCCTATCTCGATACAAAACGTGCCACCTTGGGCTGCGTCCTCTCCCCACTCGGGGCTCATGGTGTTTTTTTGGTGGCTCAGATCTGAGCTTTGAAGAAAAACAGAACGATTGTTTTGCCATCGCTGCTGCGGGGCTGCTCCCCTCCCTGCCTCAGCAATCCTATAGCGTGAGCACCGGGCACAGCGCGATGGTGACGGTCCCCACCCCGCAGCCCACGGGGGTCCTGGTGGGGGTCCCCCCACGTGCACCCGTCGCGCATGGGACCGCTGTCAGAGCAAAGTCCCTGGGGCAAAAGTGGCTGCAAACTGCACCGGGAAGCCCAGGCCAAGGGCTGCCAAAAGCTGCTCCCTGCTCAGCTTGAGGATGAAATGGCCTCACAGAGGCATTTGGTCCAGGCCACCCACAGCCCCCTTCCCTGGGGACCCCCGCGGCTGTCGAGCTGCTGCTCTCTGGCTCATCCCTCGCTTTAGCCTGGGACAGAGGAGGGGACTGAGGAACCGCTGCCCCAAACCTCTGAAAGCAAATGCAGTTTGTGCCCCTGCTCCCCCCACGGATGCTGCCTGCAGCCCCCATCCCAGGAGGGCTCGCCGGGCGCTGAGCCTGGGCAATGCCACGCTTTTGAGGGAGCATCATCCCTCTTTGTCCTCCCCACAAGACTTTTATCCAACTTACTGAGTCTTGGCCCCACAAACCCCCCCATGCCACCTCTCGAGATGTGCTGAGGAAAGCCAGACAGACTGAGTGCTCCCAGAAACAGGGCGGAAACACCCACAGCTTTGCAGATATCCGGGACAAAACCATCATTTAAAATCACCACCAGTGAGCTGGTGTTTTCCCTGCAGCTGTGCTGCATCACGTCCCCCAGCCGAGCCAGGAAAGCACCTAACCTGTGCCTGGAGGAAGAAGAGGTGTCACTGAAGGAGAACCTTCGGGTGTCAGCTCAAAAGCACCGAGCTTGCAATACAGGAAATGCTCATATTTGCCTTAATTTGGTGCCATAACCAGCCATGCGAGCCCAGGGTGCCTGTGCCAGCGGGCTCAGGGCGATGGAGGCAGGGGACAGGGAACTGAGGTGCCGTGGGTCCCTGCGGGCTCCTCCCGACCCGCTCCTCTCCACCTGAAACACAAAATTTTGGCCAGGTTGGGCAGCTCCTGGGGTCAACAACAGCTCCCTGGGTGGCAGCACTGTGTGACCTGGAGCCAGTGACCGAGCCCACCTGGGTTTTTTCCGGGTGGCTTGTTTAGGGGCTTACTAGGATGGAGGGGAGGAAGAGGAAGGCAAGAAAAAAGCCATAAGCAACAGACAGGAGGAAGAGGAGAAGCTCCCTGAGCGGTTCCAGGATGCGTGAGCGGCCCTGACCCCCCCTGGACCCCCTGAGCAGATCCAGGCCCATGCCTCCCAAGGGAAGGTGGTGGGACAACAAAGCCAAAAGCCCCTCCCCTGGCTATGGGGGCTTGAGTTGCACTTGGGGTTTAGCGGGGAGGACATGGATGGTATTTTGGGTCGCAAAGCCCAGCAGCTCAGTGGGGAGAGAGGCGGGTGGGGGGAGCAGTGCGATGCTGCTGAGCTCCGTGCTCTGCGACAGTCCCTCCGTCCCCCATCGCGATGGTGCCAGGTGGTTCTGAGCATCCGAGGGTGGGTGCAGGGGGGGACAGCCTGTGAAAATGAGAGGCAGACAGGAGGGTGCAAAGGCATCAAGGTCCTGAGAGCCAACAGGAAAATGAAGCAAAAGGGGAAGAGAAGAAAAGGGAAATGGAAAGAGTAAGAGGCTGGGGGCGATGAGGGGAAGAGAAGTGAAATCGGTGCTGGGAGCACTGGGGTGAAAGCGAAACAGTGGGGGCTGTGGGACAGGTGCAGAGGAGCCCCCGGGCAGGTCTGGGTGGGGTGTCCCCTCCCAGGCACCCCTCCGGGGGCCACACAGGCACCCCGGTTCTCTTCGGCAAGTTTCCTCTGCAAGCATCAAGAACAAGGGGCCTCTGAGTAGCTTTCTTTTTACAGGGTGAAATCTTACCCCGCCCTGAAGCCCAGGGCTGTGTTTAGCCCCACAAGGGTTAAATCACAACCCACGGTTTTTCTGCTGTCTCACAGCCCCGAGAGGACAGAGCCGAGCGAGTTGGGGGGGGGGGGGGGGAGCTGGAAAGTGGGTGCTGGCACTCCCTGGGCAGGGAGGGAAGGGCAAGGGGGGCACCGTCACACCTCTGCCCTGGTGGAAAGGGGACGCGGGGGCACAGAGGATGTGTGGTGCCGGGGACGCCCCCACCAGCTGCAATTTTTGCCCTTCCCCTGGGTTATTTTTGCTGCCCCTTTGACTCATAAGCAGAGCTTGTGCGGCGATTGCTTCTTCGTTAGTCCTTGGTTACCTCTGTGAGGAGCAGGGGTGATGTTACAAGCATGCCTGCAGGCTGTCAGTGCCCCTCTGCTCCTCTCTCCGGGATGTCAGACCTGCGGTGAGGCAGGATCTGGCCAGAGGGATGGGACAAGCCCGGGTGCAGCAGCGCTGGGATTTTGAGCTTTGCGAGTTCCCAGCGTGGCCAAAACACCCCT